TCCATGGGCCCAACTGAAAAAGCAAGTACAAATTTCCTATATGCACATAAAAAAAAAAAATCTCATTGGTTCAGGTAGTAGGATTTTAAAAAAATGTACATGAATACTCAGTAAACACAGACAGAATCTCTTCTACTAAAGCATATCATTAGTAACTTTCTGGCTGCGAGATGGCCAGGTTTTAATCCTTAGGAGCTACTTCTTTTTCCCTTGTACCTGTTCAGTAGCTAGACTAATACAACAGGAAGCCTGTATAGGAAGCTCTACATTCTCAAGGGTAAAGGGGGGCTCGGACACATGGGTAATAGAACATCCCTGATTATCCAGCTACTACAAGAAATGCAGAAAAACATAATCTAGAAACTTGGCCACCCACCAATGAAGTCCATGTGGGTCCTTCAGGACTTATTAGGACTTTGGTGTCTCTGTACCGTGATTCCTCCAGAACTCCAGATTTGGAAGGTCTTCTTAACCATCGACGTCAACTACCCCGCACAAAGAAAGTTCAGATCTGGATATCCAGCCAAGCTAATAAAATCCCCTGGAACGTGGAGCACAGCACAGAAACACCCAAGTGGGTCTGCACAGAGCCAGCTTGGGTCCATCAGGACTTATTAGTTCAGACACTGTCTGAAAGCAGCTGCACTGCAAAACTGGTCCTGGAAATAGCAGAGATGTGTTAACATGGCACAGCACTTGAACTAATAAACTGTTAGTGCTGAGCTGAGTCTGCTCTAGGCCAAATCTGGTGCCTGTATATCCACACCATAGCTAATATGCAACTGCAGAAACTGCCCGAAGAGCTGACTCTATTTCGAGCCCAGCATGCACAGCTCTACCCCTACCCACATGCCCAAGTTTTCTGTCCTCATCACCTCCCTCCATGACCAATCCCTCCATCTACCCTCTTCCTGTTTGTTCATCGTCTTCTCTCTTGACTATTCTCATTCATTTCTCAACCTTCCTCTAAATGTCCATGCTAAGGCTGCACAATGTACACCAGCGGCTTCCAGCTTTTCAGGAGTGATTAACATGGTTACCACCCTCTCCTCATCCTACCTTCTCCACCAGACCAACACCTCCTAACTTCTCTCCTCCTGACTTCTGGCTTCCCCCTTTGTCCTGCCTTTGCTGTTTCAATCCCTAACACAGTGGTTAAACCACGACACATAGGAACAATTATGCTTATAAAAACAAAACAAAAAGATGATTGTATTGGCATATCAAATCATCCTGCCTCCATGGAAAAAAAATAAGTATCAGCAGAAACACCATCACAAGAGCTCTCACCAGGACAAGGGTGGGCTACCATTTCTAAAGGTAAAATTTGCTTACCTCACCTAGAAGCTGCTTACCAGCCAGCCCAGATATGACTGTCTGAGGCTCTCCTTTCCCCTTCCTACTCAGGCTTCCCTTGTGTGACTCTCCCATACCAAACAGCCTGAGTGTCTTGGTGTGGCAAAGGGCTGGTGAGAGCAAAGACTGTCATCAGGCTGCTAATAAGAACAGTGAACGAGGAAAGAATGCCATAGGAAAGAATGAAAGTAGGCAAAGACTGACCGAAATGAAGCACAGGGTGATTGGCCTGCTCACTGAACATCAACTCTGCCTCTCAGCTCAGGCAACTCTGCTCCCCCTTCCCACCTTCACTCACCTCTATAATCCATGCAAAATACCTGCTGAGCTGTGTGGTTTGTAGCTCTGTCCTATGATGTGTAGGCATGAGATGGACACTAACAATCAAAGTTTTACAGTACTGGAAATATAATGATAGTGTTAACCACTTGCAACAGAAAGTGACAGAGTCTGGCCCTCTAGAACAGTTCAAGAGGGCTGGGATAACACACATCATTGGTAAAACCACCACTCCAACTGCATTACTCCTGTAGCCATAATCACGACTTCAACAAAGAACATGGGCAGTTCTACCTGACAGAGAAGATTCCTTGTTTCTGAGCTGTTTCCAGGCCACTGAGATCAATATACAAATTAAGAAATCAGAAACAAAATTGAAATTTATCTCCTCATTCATCAAACATGCTCTAAACAGCAGAGCAGCAATTTATTGTCTATGCAATATAACATAGTATATAAATGTGTACTGAAACAAGGAAATTATTACTAATTTTATAATCTTCAGTACTAAAGCAGACAAGCATATTCTGCTCACTTTCTATGGCAGTTAGAAAATGAAATCTGCCTGCTTTTTAGCTGCTGTGTCCCAGATATCAACCGGATGTTGTCAGTTGAAGTCCAAAGAAGAAAGAATCTCACCTTTCTCTTACATGTGCTTTCTACACAGTTAAATGTTTCTACATGTCACATAAGCAGCAAAAACCACAGTCAGAGACTTGTGCAAAATCAGACAGATTCTCAGAATGACATAATAACTAGGGAATGAGAGCAACACATGCACCATCGTTCAGAACTCCAGCCATATCTTTGCCTTGTTCTAGGAAGCTACTGTTGAACCTCTAACAGTCTAAATGATTGAAAAATACTGATACTTAAGAAAGTAAGTTTCAGTTCTCATTATTTTACTTCTATACTTCTGACAGACCTCATTCTTTTTTAGACTAGGATATCTAGCCTCTTTGCAGAACTAGTCACCATCTCCATCCATATAGGAACTTTTAAGATGTCACAATCAAAGCAAGATGAATGGCATATATCCAAGTGGAGATGCTATTAGGCTGTGTAGGATGGTATACATTACAAGCTGTTCTAGGAGGCAGACTACCCAGGTGAGTAGTTCAAACTAACTTAAGCACTTGAAACCGGGACCTTATAAAGTGCCTTTATTACAAGAAAAGTTTTGGAGCTTCTTGCATAGCATTAAAACACACCTTGCTCCTTCCTCCCACCACACACAGGATAATGGCCACAGATACAAGAAGACAAATAGGCTATTTACACCTAGAAGGTGTTTGTAGACTTATTAACAAATGGTATTAAACTCACATCCAGAACCAGATCCTGCAATTATTTACACCAGTTGTTTTTATGCATGTATATAGCATAATGGCATGCGGGTATTATGAAAATATGGACTGCCATATGAATAAAATCTTACAGTCAAAGAAAAAAGTTTTTTGTTATAAATCCAACCGCATCCATCTTCATTCCTAAAAGTAATCAGGTCTTCCTACTACAAATTCTGCTAAATGGCCAATGAAGAACTTCTGAGATTCATTCAACAAAGCAATTAAGAAATGCAAAACTTTGAAAAGTGATAGATGTTAACTTAAAAAAAATCTCTTTTCTGAAAAAACTGTTAAAACCAAACTAAAATCATTAAATCTAGTTCATTTCAGCAGTCCTATTCATATGATTGGCAAGTCTCATCAGCCATGGAGTTCTGAAATTATCAGCCACAGAATTTTTTTAAAATCACTATGTGCTTTGAGGTTCTACTAAGGCTTAATAAACTTTCTTACAGGTCTGGAGCACTATATAAATTTTGTCAGAGCTGTGCTGGCATAATTGGTAATACAAACTGTCTGGCTTCATGAAAGTTACAAGCTCTGGCTCCAATCCTGCAAACACTTACTGAAGAATTTAACTTAGTGCACAGAACTGACTACTCATGTGTAAGTTAAGCATATTTGTAAATATTTGCACAGTATGGACATCTGTTGGCACAGCCAGTCATCTGATACAAGATTCAGCTTTAAATCCTAGTCTGCAGAGAGTCAATATTAAAAAAAGGAATTCCTCACTTACAAATTCCTTTCTTGGGCATCAAGTCAGATACCAAAAGGTAGAATTGAAAAGTTAAAATCAGAGGAAGAGGAATCAGTGAAGTTGTAACAGTTGCTTCTGTTTCTCATGTAACTAGAGAAGCCTGGCTTCTTTTGGATGCATGTCTCAGGTCTGAGCTCCTGCCTTGTTTTCAGCCTTTGCTGAACTAAGGTCTTGCTATACCTTTCTTTCAGTGGTGCCATTTATAGCATTTCTCACATCATCGCAGACATTTTCACAAAGCTTATGAAATTGCTTCAAAGAGCTCCTCCTTTTTATCAGGTTTGGTTGAAATTAACACTCAAAAGTTTCGGGCGGGGTAAGAAATAGGCATGGTACAAAGCTGACCCACAGATAATTGTGGAAGTTGTATTTCCTTAGGAACTCAAACTAAAAAAAGCACTTATGAAATGCCTCCTTCCTCTTAACGTCTTGGAGTTTGAGCACATCCCATTTCACTCATCCTCTTTAACACAAAAATCTTTTGTGATCTGTGAATTTAAAATTTTAAAACCTGATACTAGGCAGAAATAAACGTAAAAGGGGAAAGGCATCTTCCCATTTATTCAGTGCTAAGTGAGATAAACTAAGCCTAAGTGTTTAAGGCCTTGTGTGTATTGCATCTGCAGAGCTGCCATGTGGAGGTCTGCTTCTTTAGCCTATAGAGAGGAAGAGCTGAGATCTCACCCTGGCTTAGGCCTTAAGGTTTCCAAGGAGTTTGTTTTAAAGCTGAGGCTTAGAACGCTAAACTGTTTCCATCAAAAAATGCAGGAATAGACTACGGAGATGGAAGCAAGATGGGCTGCCAGCAGCAGGGAGACAACGGCAATTCTCTATCAGGGACCTCGGTGACAAGATCTCTCTTCTACAGCTCCTCTCCCCAAGGCTCACAACGCTGTTTGCAAATCAGGGGCGAACTGACCTCTGGAAAACCCTAATGACACACAAAAATAAAACGCATAGATGCAAGTGAGGAAACAGGGCCCCCGGAGAGGAGAAGGGAGGTACTCTGTAGGGCCTTGTGTAAAGGCTGTGTCTCAAAACGTCCTTACCACACCAGGTCTGGGGCTGGCTGCACACAGCAACCCAGAGACCTGCCCCAGCCCTCGGAGAAAGGCACCCGACTCCTGCCCGAGCGACGGCCCAGCCCCGCCGCGATGCGGGCAAGCACCGCCAGGGCCAGTCAGCGGGGCGCAGTGGAGAATGAGAGATCGGCGCTGCAGCAGAGCCTTTCCCACCTCGGAGCGCCGCTGGGTTACCTGGTGCAATGAGCACCCACTGGCCAGGGTGCGCGTCCGGGGGACGCTGCTTCGCGCCGTGCATGCTCCGTACACCCCGGCCGCCG